TCGCACGTATTCGAAGAGTGCACGGTATATTCACATTTTAGAGAGTTATTTCGCATACACAAAAACTAGTGAATTTAATTAAATAGGCCTATATGAGAATATACATGTACACGCCATATATATATGATATAAATATAGCGTCATGTGTTACTATATATTTTATCGTGAACCGTGCTTACATTCGGGAGCTAAATATATATATATTATACAACAGTAGAGTGTCGGTTATTTTACATTCTGTATTTTCCTTCATAATAAATCCGCGTGGTGCTGTATGTGTTCCAGTGCAAGTGTTGTGCACTCGCGCACGCATGCGCACTATTTTGCTCAATCTAATGCATACAACGTTTTGTCTCCCGGTACCTCCAGTGACGTAGGTTTTTTTGCTTGTCAGAGCAAATCTGAGAAACAAACTTCAATCACTCATTTTCAGCGTGCAGAAAACAGTAGCTCTCTACACTATTTTAGTTTCATTTTATTTTAGTTGCAGTCAGTATAATCATTATTGATAATAAAAAAGATTTCGTACTTACAGCTTGTTATGTAACTGCACTTACGTTAAATTCGCGATTTGTTTTACCCGACCAAACCTTTCCCAATTAGCCGAAATTTGAGATTATCCAGCCATCTATAGATCCCGTTTAGATAGCATAATCCAGACCCCGCTAAAATATATATTTATTTATCTATATATTTATTTATTTATTTACTTATTTATTTATTTATTTATTTATATATATATATATTTATTTATTTATTTATTTATTTATCTATTTATTAAAATCAAGCGTGTTTCATTATGCTGTAATATATTACATCATTCCAGCGCGGCCCCCTGTTTACTATCTGCGATTTTTCTAACGAGAGAACATTAGATGGTGTCTACAGCAGTCATGCACAGAACGCTCACGATGTCTCTCCAACATGTGCTCGCCGTGTTAACATGTTTCTTTGAGCGGGTGCTTGGCGGTATAGTTAGCGCGGTGCGATGTACGTCATCACTTATATATTACGTCTCCGTACATGCAGGCGGTTCTGTTTTTGCTGCGCTTCGATGCGATTACGCGATATTTCCACAAAGCAAGGATTCGCGGGGGAATGTCGGATGTACATCAATGTACAGCCGAATGCTTTTTGCTAGTGTCAGCTTCTCGCTTCTTATACGCGCGTCCTTGGTGTGTCACGCTATTTAATCACGAAATATGATTTTATTCAACATCTGGTTTCATTCGTATATTTCGTATATATATATATATATATATATATTATATTCGTTAATTTCGTGCTAAGCTAGGTTAAGCGTCATTTAAGTAGATCTTGGCGAAATTGATATGATTTCAAAGTTCAACCTTATGATTAAATGTTCCATGTAGCTATAGGCCAGTAGAGTGCATATATAAATATGAATAATTGGGTTTCTAAGCTAAATGTGTGATCTCCTTGATTTAAGCCATGGTCTATGTCATCTCAATTCGTCCGTAAAGTTGTGCCTATCAGAAAACCTGGAGGACCATTTTTTGTAGCAATCTTGTAATACCTAGTCACTGAGTATAGTAATCTCTGATGGTGGTTAGCAGACATAGAGAAAATAGCTGTGTTTCTGTGTGTCATCTTTGAGTCATTAGCGTAAGTTAAACATGAACTATCTCATACTATCAACACGTGCCAATATATGAACATTAAACAACATGTGAAATGAACAATTATATGTATGGAGCCTCGGCCTGGCTGCAACAAGTATTAAAACACAGAAAGCTTAATTTAATGCCGTATTCTATACCCGGCGGATGATATACAATGATGATATATGATGTATGATACACGATACTTAATTTGAACACGAACCCCGGAGTCTTTAATTGCTAAAATCAAAAAAGAGGTTGTTTTTAAATGAAGCACTTGCTGAACAAAATGAACATAACTCATCAGCGTAACCGCGCATCGGTCAGCGCCACCACCGGCAATATGAGCAATTAATCAACCCCGGCCGTAGGTGGAGATTACATAGCAGTTAACATAATTATATCAATAATGTAAAGCGACCATTTAATCAATGTCTTGTTACATAAAACACAGTCATATATTTATACCTAGTCTTGTTCGCAGTTATCTCCGATATATCAATAATATAGAGATTTCGATGATTAATTTAAACGCATTTGTTACGTAATATCACACTTAGATTCGGCGAGATTATGCAATGTTTTCCCGTAATATTTCAAAAGGTACAAATAGAGGAAGTAATTTAACATATCTTTAATATATCAACGCACATATATATACAATATATATATATATATATATATATATATATATATGCAGATTACTATAGTGTCGGCACTTGGGCGATATTGGACGAAATGCATCTGATAGAATCTTCAAAAATATGTTTTTATAATTATTATGTGTATTTATTTGAGATTCATTGTTTGCGTATTATCAAACCCGGTCGTTCTGCTCTTACATACTTTCTAAATGTTTTCGTTAAAGAGCACATGGCAGGCGGCTTGTAACAGCTGTAGTGTAAGCTATGACAAACTAGACAATCATGTGGCGGTGCAATACCACTTTAGATATATACATCAATCTGTATTTTTTCACATTTCAAAAGGTGTAATTTTAAGTGTTATTTCTGTTAATGTGCTGTAATTTTAGTCTGTTGTATGGAAGTCTATCGGTGCATTATTTATCGAAAGAAATTAGGATTTCGCTGAACGAAAGTATTAAAAAAATGACAGTGGACTGAGGCTACCTATATACGCGTTTACTGACGGGTTTACTCATTTCAATGCCACTGTATATGCACATAATTACATTTTAAGCAAACAATTGTGAGATATAATACTTGGTTTTCTGTTGTAATCAGATGTCAGCCGTAAGTTAGGTAAAAAATTTAACATAAATATAAACATGATGATTTGATATCTCAGTGAATTTTATTTTTTCGTTTATATCTATGATAATGATAGGACCACTAACAACCGACCCGTCCCGTAATATAGCCTCTTCTCTCTCTCTCTCTCTCTCTCTCTCTCTTCTCGCTCTCATCATCTGCTCTCGCTCTCTCGTCGTCTTCTCCTCTCCTCTCCTCTCGTCTCTCTCTGCCTCTCTCTCTCTCTCTTTTCCTCTCCTCTCTCTCCCCTCCTCCTCACCGTCTCCTTCTCTCTCTCCTCTCTCCTCTCTCTCTCCCTCTCTCTCTCTCTCTTTCTCTCTCTCCCTCTCTCTCTCTCCCTCTCTCCTTCTCTCTCTCTCACTCTCTCTCTCTCTCGTTCTCTCTCTGACTGTATTTCACCTCTCTCAGTCCATCTATATTGATCTATTTGTCGCCTCTTATTTCTGTTATATTAGTAACTTTCTCTTCAGATATTATATGGGATATATAAGTAAATTTGAAACACATTCGTGATTATGAATATCACACATATAGCTTCGTGGCCATGTTTGTTTATTTTTGTACAACGCCACACTCTTGTTACATACGCAAATAAGAAAAACACCAAAGCCTACCGCTCGACGTAACCAGTCGAACTACTGCGTTTGTCGCCGATAACATATCCCCGCCCTTATCAATCTAGAAAATAGCATAAATTTACCATTAGCACTTTGCTCTATTAGTTTATTTCATCTCCCGGCGCTATACGCTATTGTTAAAAACACAGACGTACATAGACGTGCAAACCAACATTACGCTAGATTATACAAGAACAACATCCAAATTTCGTCTTGTAAAAAATCTCCGTTCTTAACCGCTGAATTTCTCGCCATAATCTGAACCGTATACCGATCAAGCGTGTTGCCATCCATGGCTTTCTCTCTGCATTACTCTGTCTTCTGTCACTCATGTGTTGCCGACGTCCGCCATTTTGAATAGTGTTGTGTGCCTGCCGTACACGGTGTCCGTGGCTGCAAGGCCGCATCGCTTCGCCTGCGATCGAACTACGTTCATCGCCCGTAACTCACCGCACCGCGATGTACAATAATTATTTAATATATTGTTCGTGAGGCTATGCATGTGAGATGGTTTATGGGGTTGTTACGGACGAACTTTAGAATGAAACACGTTTATTAATTATTGTTTTATTAACCTGTGGTTTTAATATATATGCGGACATCTAATTAGCAGTTAAACACGTTAGTTTCTAAATTCACGGTTTCTTATACTCGACCGGCAATATAAACATCATTTGTCGAGCATTTTCCACGCCATTGGCCACATTAATGACTTCAGGCAAATCCGATACAGCGCACGCAACTGAATAGAGTAGTTAAACTAATTTACGACTATACTGCGGTTCGTATGCCGTCTTCGCTTACATTGCGGCTGCCCGGTAGCAGGTCGTAACCTATTACATTGCTTAGCACTTGAAATAGCGGTGGTGACAAAAAGTGATTTATCGTGAATCCATTATATTGGGAAAAAACTCACTAAACGTGATAACTACCATTAGCCGGTTGTCATGGTTATAATGTGATAACATTACATGAAAGTATATTAAAATAATTAAAATAAATAACAATATGAAATGTGGGAAATTAATTATCAGCGTATGTTACTGTTGTATTATTATTCAGTTTTTAATATAATACTATATATATATATATATATATTTATATATATATATATATATAATACTTAATATACACGGGGTTAATGTAATACACGGGCGAAATATGTATCCTCGCGTTAATAATTCCACGTGAACGCACAAGATGTACGTACATGCCCGCATGTTACTCTGTAAACTCCCGATTCCCAGGCATATTATCAGATGTCTGTATATATATATATATATATAAATATATATATAGTTAGTGTGTCCGGAACATCTTTGCTAATAAAAGCAAACTCTGAGAAGCTGAATTATTTACGTCACTACGTGACCTATCTGTATAATTTGTTGCTACAGACGCGTTCAGAGCGGCCGTGCTACACAAGGGTATATCTTACATGTGCGAGTACAGGCGAGGTGACTAATGGGATTTTAATGCTGCTGTTTCAGCGCCAGGAACATACGCTGGGGAGACGAAGCGAGCGCGGACGGCCTATACCCGGCATCAGGTGTTGGAACTGGAAAAGGAATTTCATTTTAATCGCTATCTCACACGTCGGCGACGTATCGAGATCGCTCACTCGCTGTGTCTGACGGAAAGACAGATCAAAATCTGGTTCCAGAACCGGCGCATGAAGTGGAAAAAGGACAACAAACTGCCAAATACGAAAAATGTCAACAGCACGCGCACGCTGGCTGGTCTGCCGAGCAGCGGCAGCGGCGCTAGCTCCTCCACGCCACACAACAACGCCACACCAGCGCCGCCTGTTGCCGGTCACAAAGGTAACACCGTGGCGCCGCAGTCGGCGCCGAGCAGTCAGAGTTCGCCTGAGTACGCGATCCTAACGTGAGGTCGTCATGTAGCTGATGGCTTCTCACGTGTAACCGATGCCGCGCTAACAACGACGTCGGCAGTGATGTCGGCAGTGACGTCGGCAGTGACGTCGGCAGTGACGTCGGCAGTGATGTCGGCAGCAACGTGAGGTTGCTTGCTCAATGCGAGACCTATGCCCGGGTATCCCAGCAGCCATCCTGCGGCAGTCAGTGCTAGGATCCTCAATCCCGCGGCCGCTAGGATGAAATATCCGCACTCTGGGTTCTGTTGTCCGCCTCTAGCCGCAATTAATTCTTAATGTGTATATTATTACCAAGAAACGTGGTGATTCTTTCGGATGCTTGCCCAGTTATGAATTACGTCTGTACAGAATTAATTACCATATATGTACATATACTCATATTCCAGTACACACACACATATATATATATATATATAAATATATATATATATATATATGTATATATATGTATGTACGTATATATATAATATATAAACATATATATATATATATATATATATATATATATATATATATGTATACATATATATGTATTATGTATGTAAATGTATGTAATGTATGTATGTATGTATGGTATGGTATAGTATGTATATCATATAAATATATATATATAATATATATATATATTATATATAGTATATTAATACATTAGACGGTAGCTGGTGTCAGGTTTGTAGGGAGGCTATTTGCATGGCAGTATCACAAATAGATTAATGCTAAATATTGTACATAGACAGACTATTTGGGCATAAGCACAGAAACACGCGGATCCACATACTTAGAAAAGCCTACTGACAACAATGATGATCGAATCATCATTAATTATGGTGAAAACAACGTGATTAAAAAAGTGTATTAGGTATAAGTGAAAATATCGTTTAACGATGACACGGAGATTGACATAAAGGCTGGTCATTGTTAGCAAGTCATTTTTATCGTATCGAACCAGCCGATTAGAACCTATCGAAAAATGCGAATGTAAACAGAGAAGGATGGAATAATACTACGAATCAACCTGCATCTTAGCATGTTACAGTATAATATGTTATAGGAATTTAAAAAGCTTGATAAATTCAGCATACATTGACTCTCGATCTCGCAGAATTCATCTATTTCCTATAGCACACGTTAACTGAGGATAGGTTTATACGGCTTGTAGTGTAGAATATTCAGGGAATCAGTACCTCTATAGGCTCGCCGCACGGGCAGTTATTCTGTACATACGCGCGCTTGCTTGACTGTGTAGGAGGCCCGTCTGTCTGTCTGTCTGTCTGTCTGTCTGGTCTGTCGCTTCTATCTCTCTATCATCTCTGTGCTGCTGATGGCCTGTCCGTGCGCTCGGTGTGGGTCGTGGTGAGGCGGTAGCGGGGTGGGGGGGCGTGTTTATGTGTGGAGGGTGTACGCGTGTGTGTGTCGGTGCGTGTGCGTATGTGTACTTATGTGTGTATGTGTATGTGTGTGTATGTGTGTGTTGTGTGTGGTGGGTCGTGTGTGTGTGTGTGTGTGTGTGTGTGGCTGCGTGGTGCGTATGTCAGTACTTATGTGTGTATGGTATCGTGTGTGTATGCGTGTGGTCTGCGCTACGGTACTTAGTCGTTCTGTATCGTGTATGTGTAGTGTATAATATGGTTGTTGGGCTGCTGGTGTTGTGTGTGCGTGATTGTGTGTCAGGCGGTTGGTGGGCTGTGGGTGGCGGGGTGTTGTGCGTGATGATGGGTGGGTGTGTGTGTGTGTGATGCGTGCATCGCCGTTGTGCTGTGTGTGTCGCGTATGCTGTGTGTACCCGATGCGCGCACGAGTGTGTGTGTTATAAAATGTATGTTGTATGGTGTGTGTATGCGCTGTGTGTATGTGTGCGCCGGGACGCTGTGTCGTATGTGTGTGTGTGGTGTGGTGTGTGTCGGGTTGTGGTGTGTGTGTGTGTGCTGCTGTGTGTGCTATGCATTGGGGCGTGTGTCCGCGGCAGAAAGGCAATGCTCCAAGGCGATAGCGGCATTTCCGCTTACAATTGTATATAGCTTGGTGTCGTAAATTAGGCTATTGTCAGCTTGGCAAATGAATATTATGATTATTGTGTGTAATTGTGATAAACGATATAATACGTGTGTCTGTATATTACCTTCGCTAGTCAACAACGGTGACACTCGTGTCACACTCAGACCGTTGACGACAAAGTATTATCAAAAACATTCATCTTCTCCTGGCATAATTGACAACTCGCTTCGGAGAGTCGGATGCTATGTGGTTTTTATTGCTCGGATGACTGAGCTGGGATGTACGTGGCCCGCTCATGCTCAGGTATAGTCCGTTGATGTGTTTAGTTAGACGATACGTCAGAAATCCTAGAATAAATAGACCATATACGATATATGTGAAGTATGCGCGCGTTGTGGCGGCCGGGCGACTATAGCACGGTATGACCCGTGGTGGCTAGAGCAGTCATTCTACAGCGGCTACACTTCAGCAGCTGATGGTTGCATGCATCAGCATATATGTTATAAATGTTGTCTAGGAGTAGTCTAACAAATGTTTTTTGGCATATCAAACGCTTTAAAATCTCATGTTGTCGGCTATTACTATACATGTATGCGTGAATGTGTACACGGGCGCATGTGTGCGTGCGTGTGTGGGCTGTGAGTACGTGCTTGTGGGTTGTGTGTGGGTGCGGCTGTGGTGCGTGTCGTGTGTGCTGTGTGCCGTATCGCGCTGTGTGTGTGAGTGAGTGTGTTGGAGTTGTGCTGTGCTTGCATGTGTGTGCTGTGTGCGCGTGTGCGTGTGCGTGTGGGTGTGCGCGTGTGCGTGTGCGTGTGCGTGTTCGTGTGCGTGTTCGTGTGCGTGTGCGTGTGCGTGTGCGTGTGCGTGTGCGTGTGCGTGTGCGTGTGCGTGTGCGTGTGCGTGCATGCGTGTGTGTGTGTGTGTGTGTGTTTGCATCCGTGTGCATGCGTGTTTCTAGTATAATTATAAAGAACATTTAATATCGAACACGACAACAAGCACTCGCCCAATTGTGCACACATGTAAATTGTGAAATAGTTTATATGTAATATTTATTGATTAAGAAACGTGGATTGTACATAATTCTTCGAGCGATCAGATGAAGAGGAAATAGTGAACCCGTGCAATAGTCGTGCTGTGAGTTAGCGCTCCACGATTACTAGCTATTCTTTTTTTGCTCATCGTGTTTCAATATGTAACGCCTTTGCTTTGCTTTGATGCGCACTACTTACTACTGCTGCTGCTTACCATACATGCTGATTTTCAAGTCAAATCCTAATGAATGACTCCGTGTTTTAATTGCCCGCGGTATGGTATATCGTGCTGTACTCGCTGTTACTGCAGTCGTGCGGTCGCGTGTCTGTCGGACGCATGCACTCGTTCGCACGCAGCACGATAAATCTAACACGTTAACGAACGAAATTTACTCGCTTTAAAACATGTGAACTACGGAAAGTGAAGTTGCCAGTCGCGGTACGATCCTTCCTGAAGCTTTATAGCTACATCATATGCAAGGTTGAGTGATGTTTACTAGGTTTCACCGTCGCCCCAGACGACAATTATGTGACGGACAAGAACTTAGCGCGCTATTCTCCAAGATAGGTAGAAGCCTTTGACACCATGCACAAAATTATTTCGGAAATTTTGTATAGGTCATCAGGTATATATATATATAGTCTACGTAACAATTGTCCGAAATTTTTGTCATTGGCTCGAGGATGGTATGAAAATTAGATATTGAGGTTAACTCATTTATGTTCTATTTAAAGAGATATACATTGAGATTATCTGTACAACTGGAATTCGTTCATAGGACCGAAATTTCCTGAGTCGTAGAATAATTTGTCTGCATGCAGAAGAACGGTTATTTAATTGCGTGTTTGTTTGTGAAAGCTGTTTTAACTATCCCTGCTGCCACTATATATCGTTTTTCGTGTATTATAAAACGTGTACAGAAATGATGTGTTTATGAAAAAATAAACTTTGACTGTGGTAAAGTGTCTAAATAATAGTTGTAGCATTTATGTTCCACCACCCTGTCATTAAAAATATAATATAATAATCATATATCAATAAATCTACATATATAATAGTATATAATTATAGATACATATATATATATGTATATGTATATGTATATGTATATGTATATGTATATGTATATGTATATATATATATATATATATATATATATATTTACGACCGCCATAACTTCACATATCTTTCTTCACAATGTGTGAATCATGTACAGGGAATTGATACGTGCACCAAGCTGCCGTATATTTGCCGAGGCGGGGTGCGCGCGGTCTGTACGTGCACTGATTTACACGGCGTTTCATTCAGTTATAAATTCTGATATAATTGCTAACCGCAAGTCTTCCGTTATCGTAGAAATGACAACCTTATATTAGTTATAAAATAATAACAGTGTGTCAGACTATATATTCCGGCTGGTTAAACCGATTTAATGTTGTGTTTGAGACCGCATGAATCACATACAGGCGTGTGGCTTTACGTAACAATGTTTATTTGAAATTATATTATGAAATCATTTCTACAAGTAGAAATCTCACAAGTAATAACAGTTACAGCGCATATGTGCATATGCGCAGTATCTAAACGAAGAATTTGGCTATTTGGGAGAACACGCACATACAGTATACTGGAACTGTTATTGCTCACATTTGAGTTGTCTTACATAAATGAATTTAAATTATTAATAGACACTCAACTAAAATTGGTTAAACAATATTTGTTATTAAAAGCGACATTTACGCATATATTCGCTCTCACTCGCTCGCCGCTTTCTCGTCCATGATATTTGTCTTCTGCCATTGCGCTCCCCCGCATATTTCACATTCCTTCATTCATTCGTACTAAAAATATTTAACCATTTATAGCGGCATTTTTATACAAATGGATATAATGCAAATAGAGAAAATATCAAAATAATGCAGCCTATAATTGAAAGCGACGCAGCAAACCACTAAAGTAATCGA